CGTGGCGGACTGCCAGTGGAGGTCGGCTTTGACCATGGCCCGCTCCGCCAGGTAGGCCGAGCAGCCCTTCCGCCAGTCGGGGTCCTTAGCCGGCGGCGGGAGCCGCAGCGGCAGGAGCTCGAGGAGCGGGGAGGACGAGAAGGGGCTAAAGGGGGCTCAGGGACACACAAAGAAATGCGCACGAATCCCAGGATTCCCTAGCCCAAGAGGCCTCAAGAGAGCCCCAAAATGACCCAAGAGAGCCTCAAGACCGCCCAAGATGCCTCCAAGATGGCACCAGAGGCTCCCCAAACGGCTCAAACAGGGTGCCCAGACGGGGGGCCCGACGAGCCCTCGGCGACAGAGGCTCCCAGGAAGCCCCAAGATGCCCCCGAGAGGCCGCCACGAGACCCCCAAGAGGCCCCCAGGAAGCCCCAAGAGGCCCCCCCCGCCACATTAGAGAACGCATGGGTCGCCCTCCAGGGTCGGCGGCACCGGCCGTAAGGCCTTCGCAATAAATACGCACAAATCCCAGGATTCCCTACATTTTTCAGTCTGTTCTAGGTGTTCGTCTTCCCCCCCCCTTCCCAAATGTTCCACTCTTTTCCTGGGAATCGACGGTTGCTTGTGTCTATGTGTGTGTCCCCCCTCCCGAGGGGTAAGATAGCAAAAGGGCAGGGTAGAGAATCAGCGCACGTAGATGGTTTTCCTGGCGCCTCCTGGCGCCGGGAGGCGCCCATGTATCGAGGAATGGGCCGGGTGGCGGGGCCGAAACCAACTGCATGCAACAGATTTCGTACGCCCCCCTCCGATTTCCCTATCCTACCCTTTCGTCCGGTCCGAGAGGAGGAGTGAGGTGCAGGAGGACGGTGACCATGAAACAAGCGAGGGCGGGAGGAAGACAAGGACGAGGAGGATGGGGGAGGGAGCAAGAGACGTAGGGCGAGGAGAGAGTCGAGGTGGAGGACAAAGGAGGGAGGAGGGAAGAGGGAGGCTGGAGAACGGAGGAGGGCGGAGAGTCAGACGTTCGTTAGAACAGGAGGTTTCCCCACCTCTCGCAGCCTCCCCTCTCTTCCTCTCTCCGCAATCTCTGCTCAAGGCCTCTGGCGAGGCCACTTCTCTTCTGGGGTGGGCGGGCGGGGCCATAGCTCGCTGGCCCAGCCTGCGGCGCAGCCAGGCAGTCCGAGGAGTGCTGGGTAGTGGCTGGGCCAGGTCCCCCCCTCCAGTGCGGGCGGGGGCTCCCGAGGGAAGCCCCGCGGCCAGCGGCGGACGCCTCGCAGGCGCCCGCGGCCTGAAGGGGCAGAGGCAGCAGGGAGGTGCTGGTGATGCGGCACGTCTCCCTGGAGTGCGTGATCTCTACCGCGCTGGTGGCCACGCTCGGGTGGCCAGATGCTTCCCTGGGCGTAGGGCCGTCGGCTGCCTTTTTTGGCCTCCGCCAGCTGTGCGCCAGGGCCGAGCGAGGGCCACGCGCGGGAGGAGCCAGGCGCCGCGAGCAGCTGCGCAGAGGAGGCTGCGGGAGGTCAGCCAGCTGATCCCGTGCTGCACGCGGAGGCGGAGCAGCCGGAGGAGGCGGCGGCGCCACAGCTTGAGGCGCCCCCGACTACGAGCCCGCCGCCAGCCATGGCTGGTTCGGGTGGGCGCGCCACCAGGCACGAGGAGTACCACTACCTCTCGCACTGCTGCGAGGACGGGGTGGCGCCGAGTCCGCCCCTGGAGATGCAGCCCGTGGCGCCAGCTGTGCCCGGACTGCCGCCCGAGGAGAGGGCGATGCCGAGAGAGTCGGACCGACCTCCGGCGGGCGAGCAGCAGCCGCCCGCCCCACAGCGGCGTCCGGCTGAGGCGGCGCCTCGACCGACGGGCAACGCCACTCGCTCGCAGCGGGCGCCGGCGCCACCGCCGCCGCCAGGGGAGCCGCCGGCTGGAGGAGGTGAGAGCGTGGCAGCTGAGGATGCGCCTCCACCTCCAGGCCGTCCGCCCGAAGCCGTACCAGGGAGGGTCAGCGCCGAGCCAGGCGGGCTTGCACTCGCCAACGCATGGTTCGAAGCGGCGCTCAAGTGGCTGGGCGAGAAGCTCGGGCATGCGCTGGGTGCTATGCTCCACCAGGTGATCGCTTTCCTCATGGGAATGGTGAACGAATACATTTGTGGCCGCTACTGGGCGCGGCTCCAGTGGCTCGCCCTGAGCGTGGCCGCAGCGGGAGTGATCGCCCTCCTCGGCTCCATGATCAGCCTTGTCTCTTGGGTCCTGCGCACGGCCTGGATGCACTGCTCGTTCGTCTTCGTGACTACGCGCGGCTTCGTCAAAGGCAGCAAGACGGGCCACGACGTGCAGGTCGCCTTGGACTGCAAGCCGAGCGCTGCCCTGACCTGGCGCGGTCCAGACGAAGCCGAAGCCGTCGACGCAGACTACTTCAAGGACGAGGTGAGGGCGAGGGGAGGCAGCTCGAAGAACATGATGCCCAACGACCTCATCATCAAGTCGGGCGGGGCGGTGGCGAGGCTAGAGCAAGGGCCCATCAAGGGCAGCCGCATCACCCGCCACGGGTGCGCCCATCGCTTCAAGGAGGTCAAGGGCAGCTCGCACCGGCACCTCAAGACCGACCTGGAGGCCACGCGAGATGACGATCGGGTCGGGCGAAAGGGGGGGATAGCAAAGGGGGGGTTTGAGAATCAGCTCACGTAGCAGATTTTCCCGGCGCCTCCCGGCGCCGGAGGCGCCCATGTATCGAGAAATGGGCCCCTCGGTGAGGCCGAAATCAGCTGCACGCAGCAAAATTCGTAACCCCCCCTTTCCCAATCCCCCCCTTTCGCGAGACGAGGGGATCGGCCTGGTGCACTTGTGCTCTGCGACGCCATGCACGTTACCACCAGGAGACAGGCCCATGGTCCACGTGGGTGCGTCGTGCGTCGCCGGCCACACCTCTTCGATCAACGTGCCAGACTTGGCCAAGCTCACACCTGCAGGACGGGCCAGGACGGGGAGCAGAGCATGCTGCTCTTGGATGTGTCGGGCAGCGTCGGGGCTCGCTAAGAAGGCGTGCGGGTGCTGTGCGCCTCGGAGATGGAGGCGCCCACGTCCGGGCGACGGCTCGGCCAAGGCGGTAGTATGGACCCGAACTCGGAGACGGAGTCTGAGCCGAGCGTGGGCGTGTGCGAGGCAGACATGATCGCATTCCGGACTACCGGGTGCGTGCAAGTGCTGCGTGCCAAGGGCTGTCGGGACTCAGCGAGGAAGGACCCGTGCCGATGCTGGTCGAGGACACCGCCATCTCCGACGTGCGCGAGTCTCCGGAGGCGAATGGCACTCGCTCGTTCAGGGCCCGCCCGTTCCACGCCCAGTCTTACGAGGCCCAAGCAGCTCAGAGGAAGTGTGCCCGCTCCAACTGCTTCCGCGAGAAGACCACCGAGAAGGACGGCTTCCCTCTCTGCGCCGCGCATGCTGCTGATCGGGTAATGGGCTGGCGCAGCCGGTCGGCCACGCCGCAGCCGCATGAGGACAACAAGCGGCAGGAGAGTGGGCAGGGCACGGAACCCGAGCAGCAGCCGTCGCCTACGCGCAGGAGCAGTCCAGCGGCCAAGGTCGCCGCGGACACGGCCTGGCTGGTGCACGTGCGGGACCCCTTGGCCGATGCGGCCGCGGGTTGGCGAGCCTACTACAACTTCCCGGCCAAGTTCGCGGGCCCCTCCCGCGGCACAGAAGACGACGACCCCAGGACGGATGTGGAGGCGGTCGGGCTGCATGCCACCTTTTCCATTCCTGACGGCGCTCGACCAGGGCCAAGGACGGAGATGCTCGACGAGTTCATCAGCACGCAGCCCCCCGCCATCTGCTGGAAGTCGGCGGTGACCTCGCTCCTGTCTGACTACGGCGACGGCACTAACTGCGAGGGCGACAGTCTCAGCCACGCGTCTGCGGCTGCGATCGTGCACGACAGGAGCCGACACCACCTGGCGAGGCGAGCGAGATCCAGAAGCAGGAGCGCCACGCCGACCAGGAAGAGCGTGAAGGACGACCTCGACGAGAGGCTGAGGCGAGCCAAGGAGAAGGATGAGGCGCAGCGCCGAGCGGACCCGAGGGCCGCGCCCATCGAGGGGTACCTGCTCAGGAAAGCTGAGGGCCAGTCCGACGAGAGCGCGAGGCGTGCTACGGCGGCCGATGCCGGCGCGGGCCCGCTCGAGCTCTTGGCGGAGCTCATCGAGGCCGCGGATGCACCGCTCGAGGGAGTGGTCAGCGACATTGGGCTGAGCCTTCTCCAAGGATGCCAGGCAGCCTGGTGCAAGGAGCTCCAGCGAGGAGGACCGCACTCAGGAGGCGTCCAGGAGCATCGTGAGGCAGCGCCGACTCCCCTTCCGCCCGCAGCAGCCCCCCGCCGGTAGCGGCGCCTCCGCCCCCGGGGTCGCCCCCAGGGATAGGCTTCGTCGGGTTCGGCCAGCGGCCCGCCGCCAGGCCGTCGCCGCCTCGCCTAGACCCCCTCTCGTTCTGGGGAACGGGTGGCACGGGAGCGTCAGCGCCTTGGGAGCACGAGGGCACGGGATCGTTCGTTGAAGCTGCGACGAGGCCTCGGGAGTGGCACGCAGGGGCGTCTTCCATGCCCATGGAGGAGAGGACGTTCGCGGGGCCGCAGCCCACCACCGAGATCGGCATGGACCTGGAGAAGCTGGTGCGCGAGCTGGGGAGAGCCAATAGGCACTCAGAGGAGCCAGGAGGTGCGGCCAAGCGCACGCTGGCGAGCATCGGGCGGGCTGAGGAGCAGCTCGTCTACATAGCGCACGGCTGCGACAATTTCCACGTGACGCTCTGCCCGGGTATGCTGGGTAAAGACGCGATTCATGGGCGGCCGTCCAGCATGGGGGACGCGACCACACGCACCTCCTTGACCACTGCCTCAGCTGCGCCAACTTCCCTAAGACGTCGGAGGCGGACATGGGCGACTTCGTGCCGCCCAAAGACTATGAGCTGGAGACTAGGCCGAGGCACGCAACGACGGTGCAGAAGTGGATCCAAGAGGCTAAGAGGGAGTCGTGGCCTTGGGCGTGCTTCTATGGCCAGGAGCAATACAAGTCACAGGTGGACGCCGCTGAAGCCCTCATGAAGCTCAATGACGAGGCCGACTACGCGTGGCCGCCCCAGGTGATCTCCAGCGTATGGTGCGAGCATCGGGGCAGGTGGTGCGAGGAGCTCAGGATGTTGCGTTCGCGTCTGCTCGAGCTGCTGGCGGACGACAACCCGAGTAAGCGTTCCGTGGCCCCGCAGGGAGCCCCGCCGAAAGTCCCAGTGCTACCGTTCGCTTGCGTCCCCCACACCGAGTATAGCGCTTCGTGGCCCCATAGGGATTCCCACCGAAGGTCCCAGCGCTACCGTCTGTATGCGTCCACCCCCCCTGTACAACGCTTCGTGGCCCCATAGAGAGCCCCTCCGAAGCCCCTGGGACTGTCCGCATGCGTCCCGGAAATCTAATTTGGCATTTTCACACCACCCAGTACTGCGTTTCGTGGCCCCATAGAGAGCCCAACCGAAGCCCCCAGTGGGGCTGTCCGCATGCGTCCGTGAAACGCAATTTTGGTATTTTCACACCACCCACTACGGCGTTTCGTGACCCCGTAGAGAGCTCCACCGAAGCCCCCAGTGGGCCCGTCCGCATGCGCCTGGGAAACCCAATTTGGCATTTCCACCCACCTAACTAGTACAACGCGTCGTGGCCCCATAGGGAGCTCCGCCGAAGCCCCCAGTGGGACCGTCCGCATGCGTCCCGGAAGCCAAATTTGGCACACCCCTCACACGTTTCGTGGCCCCATAGGGAGCTCCAACGAGCCACCAGTGGGACCGCCCGCATGCGTCCCACACACCAGGTTTTGCATTTTCTCCACACCCAGTACGGCGCTTCGTGGCCCCATAGGGAGTTCGCCCGACGGCCCCAGTTCTACCGCCCGCATGCGTTCCTCCCCACCCAGTGCAGCGCTTCGTGGCCCCAGATGGAGCTCCACCGAAGCCCCCGGTGGGACCGTCCGCATGCGTCCTGGAAACCATTTGGCACACCCCTCATACGTTTCGTGGCCCCATAGGGAGCTCCACCGATGCCACCAGTGGGACTGCCCGCATGCGTGCCCACACACCAAATGTTGCATATTCACCCCACCCAGTACGGCGCTTCGTGGCTCCATAGGGAGTTCGCCCGACGGCCCCAGTTCTACCACCCGCATGCGTTCCCCCCTACCCAGTGCAGCACTTCGTGGCCCCATAGGGAGCTCCACCGAAGAAAATATGCACAATTGCGGTACGAACAACTGCATATGGCTGGGTCCGTCGCCAGGATAATTTTACTATTTTTGAATTCTCCTCCTCTAGAAAGACGTGCCCGACTTCACTCCGGGACCGGGGACCTCCGGGGACCTCCGGGGACCCCCAGAGCCTGTCCCCCTCCCTTCCACGCCACCCCTCTTCAACAGGAAATGAAGAGCACCAACATGCCTGCCGTCTCACCCGCTTCGTGCTCACGTGCCCACCCTGAGCCAGTCTATCCTCGATCTGTCATGCTCCGATCGCGGGAGCAGGACAAGGAGGGGGACGACGGGGGGCACGGCGAATGGGGGAGAGGGAGGAGCGGGAGGAGGAGGAGGCCGAGCGTGCCCAAACGGGGTTCGTCCCAACTCTCTCCGAGAAGCCTCAGCGCTGAGCCCACAGGAACTCACAGGGGTCTCCGCATCCTGTGTGCCATAGTCCATCCTCCAAGCCACGTCTTAAGCGCAGCGGAGCACCGTGCGGGGGGGAGCGTCCGCATGTCTTGACGAGCCCCCACCCCAAAGATGACCGAGTCTACGTCGGGCACGAACCACTTGCGAATCCACGCCTCGAGCGTGGTGGCAAGGCCAAGGGGATGAAGAGTCTGCGCAAGAGCGCGCGCGAGGCGGCGCTGCAGGCCGTGCCGCGCGTGCGACGCTGCCCCACACTGCCGCGCGGAGGCGAAGGAGGAGGGAGGGGATCGGCGGCGAGCGAGGGGGTGAAGTGAGAAGGAGAAGGCCTTCTCATGTCTTCGGGGAAGGCTTCGAAAATTTCTCAAAGGCCGGGGGACTGCCGAGGCTTCTGAGGAGGCTTCTCACTGCCCCCCCGCGCCCGCCGACGAGGGGAGGAGGAGGGGGGAGGCAGCGGCATGCACGGCGCACTGCCTGCAGGCGCCAGTCCTGCGGGAATCCCGGCGCTGCCTCCTCGAGTCGCCGGGCCAAAGCTGGGGAAGACCGGCGCGGAAATGCCAGCCGCTCTGGCGGGTGGCAACCCAGCACGGCGCGCTCCCGGAATGCCCTGCGGAGTTTGGGCAGCATCTCTCGCCACGAAATGGCCGTGCACGTCGCTGCCCCTCGTGCGCGCTGCGGCCACCGTGGCCAGCATGCTCGGGGAGCGCGGCCCGCCCCAGGCGCCGAGTGCCGGCCAGCCCGCATGGCTCGCGATGCTCGGCATGGTGCGCCAGAGCGAGGCGAAGAAGTTGCGCTCCTCCTCCGCAGTCGCCCACGGCATGTCGTGGAGCTGCACCTGGTACCCCCTATCACAGGGGGGGCCTTGATCGTGTAGTAGGTGGCACAGCCCAGCGCGTCCGCGCCAGTCGCTGCCATCGCCTTGACGCGCCGCTTAAGCTTGGCCAGCGGCTCCGCCAAGTTCATGGCCTCTGTGACCTCCAGGCCAAATCAACTGCCCAAGTAGAGGAAGGAGCACGGAACAAAGAACGAAATCGCCCCAGCTGTGCTCGGCCACCGCCAGGACGGCGCGCACGCGGCGCTCGACCAGCTCACCTTGGACCTGCCCCAAGAGCACAACGTGGCGCTTCGATGCCTTGAGTGCCAGCTGCGCAAAATGCTGGACCTTCTTGAAGACGCGGGCCATGCACGCGGTCCGCGCACGCTCTGACTGCTCCGATACGCTTATGTTCCACAGCCTGCTCCATGCGCAATAAGACAGGGTTGCACGAGACCAGGAAGAGCGCTCCGCTGAGCGGGCACCCTTGCAGGACAACGGACATCATGGCATACAGCGCCACTGTATGCCGTGACGCCACGGAACCAACATAAGTTAAACGTGTACAGGAAAAGAAGGAGGAGGAGAAGGAGGAGGTGGGCCAAGGAGACGACGAGGACGAGGACGACGACGAAGACGAGGAGGCCCAGGAAAAGGGGTAAGAAGGAGGATGAGAACGGGGCGGGGCGGGGAAGAGAGCAGGGAAGAGGGCGGGGAGGAGGTTAGATCGCTGTGACAATATTCGCATCACGAGTTGAAGCTACCCATCACGCCCCAGAACGAGCTGCCAAGCCAAGCGCTATCATGATAACTCCTCGCTGCTGATCGAAACGCCCGTGCGCCTTCTGGGCGGCAAGAGGACGGCATGAAGCGGCGGGAAAAGGAGAGAAGGAAGGGGGAGCAGGATAACAAGTAGGGGCGGCGGACGAGAAGGGAACTCACAAGACACCACCAACCTGAACCTCAAAACCTGAGGAGGAGAAAAACGAGGAAAGGATCAGCACCAGCGGGTGAAGGAGAGGAGGCTCATGGATGAACACGGAGCTGTGACGCGCGGGGGGGGAGCAGGGGCCATTCACCTCTGAAGAACAATGGCGGCCGCAAGCAAAGACCGCTGCAGCCCTGGAATGTAAACCACGTGTACACATACATATACATACACACATACATGTGTATCGATCCACATGCACATATACATAGACATACCCATATACAAAATGCGTATATATATACACCATCCTACACAAACGCAATCATATTCATGTACATGTACATTGCCATGTGTAAATACATGATACAGATGCACATTCATAAACATGCATACATCGACGCATGCACATAAACATGCATACACATCTACATGGTACATGTACATGAACATCTACATGTACACAATGATATGTATATATATATGCATATGCACGTGAACATGAACATACATACATACACATATACATATATATACACAAACATGTACCTATGTATGTGCATATGTATGCACATGAACGTACGCATACACATATACACATACCTATACATGTGCATATGCATATATACATATATATATATATATGTACATATATATATATATAATGAATATATGTATATATATCTATAAGTATACATACTTATACTTATACATCCACCTATACACAAACATACACATATGCATACACACATGCATATACATAAGCATGTACACGACATATCCATGATACATATGGAGTGCCATGTGGATTGACACCCAAAACCAGACGTCATTCACCCGTGCTGGGGGGGTCTGCGACCGAGGTGCCAGAATGCATTGAGATGGCTGGCCAGTAGCAGGCAGGCGGCAGGCGGCCTGGCCGGGGTACCATGGGGTCACCCTGGCCACCTGGCCGGGGTATACCAGGCGCCTGGGGTTACCCCGGCGGCCTGGCCAGGGCACCCCGGACTCACCCCAACCGCCTGGCCGGAGCACCGCAGGTTTACTCCCAACGGCCCCGCCAGGGCACTCCGGACCCCGGCGGCCCTGCAGGCCACTCCGGATTACCCCGACGGCCCCGCCGGGGTCTCCGGATTACCCTGGCGGCCCCGCCGGGGCACTCCAGGATTGCCCCGCGGCGGCCCCGCGGCCCCACCGGGGTACCCCGGATTACCCTGGCGGCCCCGCCAGGGCACTCCGGGATCCGCCGGGGCACTCCGGGATTGGCCCTGGATTGGCCTGGCGGCCCCGCGGGGGTACTCTGAGTACCTCATGCATGGTCCAGGGGGGGGTTCTGTGGGGGGGGCCGTGTAATAATGGGGCCCTTGTACTCCGGGGGGGGGGGCCCTCGTACTCCGGGGGGGGGGGGGGGGCCCTTGTAGTCCGGGGGGGGGTTCTTGTGGTCTGGGGGGGACACTGTGATCTTCGCGGGGCGACGTCCCGCTCGACGACCGCGGACATGCGCCCCATGCAGAGGGCCAGGCAAGTGGCCGCAGTTGCGCGCGTGGCAATAAAGTACAGTAGTTCTTTGGAGGGCCACGAAAAAATACCACCTGCGCGGGGCGCCACTTCGTTGATGCAGGGGGGCCACTTCTTGATTGGGCACATCACGGGGGTCCTTGTGGTCCGCGGGGATCCCTGTAGTCCAGGGGGGGGGGGGCCTTGTATTCTTGGAGGGGATCCTCGTATTCCGAGGGGGGAGCCCTGCAGTAGTCTGGGCCCCGGGGGGGGGCCCTTGTAGTCCGGGGGGGGGCGGCCTTGTAGTCCGGGGGGCCCTTGTAGTCCGGGGGCCCAGAACTATTGAGGTACTCAGAATACTCCGGATTACCCCGGCGGTCCTCCGGATTATCCCGGCGGCCCCGCCGCTGTGCTCTGAACACCTCAATAGTCTTGGGCCCCCGGGCGACTGCAGTGAACTTGGGGTCTGGGTTTGGTTGTAAGGTACTGGTAGGGTAGTTGTAAGGCAGCTGTAAGGTATGTGCAACCCGCTGCGAATCGCTTACGTAAGCGTTGTAAGTTCTGATAGCTAACATAAGTAGCGCAGCAAGTCGCATAACATGTGTATAAGTTAGCACGCACTTGTCTTAACTTAGCCCGAGTTGCAACTTAATGCAGCGATCTTATGTTAATGATTGAAGTCGGTTTTCCTCCATGTCAAAGTCAGAATGCTATTTCACATTTTTTGTGTGCAGATGCGGCCCGCATTGCGTGTTTGATTTCAACGCGTTGCCCACTTGGCACTTCCGAAATGCACGTTTCAATTGCGTGAAGACGCATCCGTCGTTGGATTATGTGCAAAGTTGCAATTGAACGCTCGATGGGCTACGCCGCGATCGGATTTGGCCAACGTGTACAGACATTGCAGTCTCCAGAATATGGCACAAGTCATTTTTCGCGCATCCTATAAACATTCGGCGCAACGCGTGCCACGATGATTACACGTGATACCGCATGCTATTTCAAACAGCGCGTTGCTGTCTCAACATTGAACATACCGTTACGATGTGTAGGCGTATCCGGCTCGAGCTGGTTTCTCTCTTCTGCAGTTGCTGAATTTTCTATGCACACCATGCGCAATATTTATCCGCAAGAGCTGGTGGGTTTCATCAACGAGCGCATCGGCACGCATCGCGACGGCAAGCTTGCCCCGATTACAGCTTGGAAGGATTGCGTCGGCCGACTTTTAAATGATTAGGTACCTCGTAGAGCTCTTAAGATACAAGGGCTAGAGGAATTCCGGCGCGGGGTGGAGCTAGTCGACTCGCCCGGCGGCCAGGGCGGACAATGTGGGGACTTTGGGTCGGTTGGGCAAACATTGTGAGAGATTTGACAACTCTTCTTGAGAACCAGTATTTATCGCACCTGTAGTAGGTCATGCCGCGCCTGCCAGTGAAATTCTCAGGTCCGTAGCTGCAGTATTACTATCAAAACACTTGGCGGAACCGATTTCGTGTTGGTATAAAAATTGAGTTATGCGGTTCTCGCAAGATTTCAAAATATTTGACAGTTTGTATGAAGATCCGATATTGTTCTAGTAAGGATTGGATCACGCCCCGCTCGCTGGTGAAAGTCTCAGGGATGTAGCTGCAATATTTGTATCGATTCAACCCCAGGAACCGACCTAAAATGAAAGTTGTCAAAGAAACTGAAAATGTTCTATAAAAAATCTTAGGAATTGGCGATGCGTTGGGGCCTCGTGATTACGTGATGCGCTTGTGGCGCGGAATGGGTCGATGGCGCGGCTGAGTTTGAGCTCGGCCGCGTCGATGGCATCGGATGGAGGCGGAGGGGGCTCTACGAGGTCCCCGGCGGTAACCAGGTTGACGGTTTACCGCTGGCGTCCAGTCGCCAAGCAGATCGACGCCGAGGCGGATGATCTCCTCATCCACCACTCGAACCGTTCTGGCCTTGGCGTGAACGCCTACAACGTCCACAGGGTTGGCGCAATGCTCAAGCACGGCGTTGACCCTGCAGAGCTCGAGAAGGCGGTTGCTTCCGAGCGCATGCCCACGGATCCTATGAAGTCGTCCCAGGTTGCATCCAATAACAAGCTGATCTCGTCTAGTAAGGGCATGCTGGCGCCGATGACGGGCGCGAAGAGGTCCTGCACGATGGGGACGGGCCACACCACGCAGTTTTTCAAGGCAGCGAAGGCGGATCGCTCCATGCCTGAGCCGACCTTCGTTGACCCGACGATGGGTGGGAAGATGAACGTAAAGACGTCGTCCCAGGACGCGCGGTTCCACTGCGCTCTCGCGAAGGGCTGGCGTTGGACCGTCTTGCCGTGGCAGGCAGAAGTCACGTGGCCGCACCTCCCAAATTTGGCACAGCGCACCCTCAATGCGAGCAACATCGTTGCCAGTTTGAGGTTGGAGCTCGAAATTTTCGTAAACATTGCTGAATTTTCAGAACTGATGCCGTCAAGATCTTCTTTTGGTGCCTGCGTTAACGCAGCGGGGATGAACCGGCCTCCGTGCCAGGCAGGCGGCATGGAAAGGCACCCCCTGCAAATGCGCGCGGCGCTGGCAGGCGCGGCCGCGGCATGCAGAAAAGCAGTGCCATGCTGACATGTGCGTTGCTCCGACATGCGTCTTGCACGCGGCGTGCGCTGTGGCCGCGCGCGCCTGCGCCGTGCATGATATGCAGGGGGCGCGCTTCCGCCGAAAGGATTACATTGATGAGACTGGCAAGCTCGCAACGCACTGCGGCGGGGGATGCGGCGTCCTGCTGGCTAAGTTCATGGACCGTTTTGGCAAAATGCACGGCGCTAGCAAGAAACTCGGGCAGGATTCCGTTACGTGAGTTGTCGACGCATGTTTCGGTGATCTCGAACCGTGCGTCTTCCTGCGCGTCGCGAGCATTCTTGCCAATCTGGCTTCCGATAATCAGTCTGACAGCGCTGCGAAGCTAGCAGTTCCCAGCGACATAGAGGTTGAAAGGCAAAGCAGGCATTGAGCAGGGACCGACCGTCCCGGCATTCCTATAGTCCTACCACGAAATGTTTTTAGAACCCACAAAAGTTCTAAGAACAAAAACTATGTTCTTGGAATATAAACCCGATGTGATAAAACAGGGCAGTCCCAGCCAGAAATGTTCTAAGAACATTTCGTGGAAACCACAACAGGTTCTTAGAACATTGTTTGGTGGGGCCATAGGCACGCCGGGACGCTTCGCCACTGCTTGAAGGCAGGGACAAAGCAATTGCTCTCGACAGGGACCTGTGAAAAATGTTATCGCATCGCAGGCGCCCTGCGCGCCAGCGGCCGCATCGATTTAGAGCAGCACGACGCGTTGGCGCGCGCGCCCCGCTGCCACCCACAAGCCCCCGCCTCGCTGCGTCAGCGCCGGCGCAAGCGTGGGATCTGGGCAGCCTCTGCGCCGGGGCCAGCACGTCTCCACGGTCTCGCCACGCAGCGCTTCTCGGAGATCACCCGCCTTCATCTTGCAGTGGCCCGGCCTGCCATTGCCACCCCTGCCGCGCACCATTCGCCTGGCCGCCCGCTGCCACCAGGCGCGATCTGCGAGATCAGCTTGGGCCGCCCATTTCCACGGGCGCTCCGGGCGAGCACCTGCCAACAACGGATGCGACCTTCGCATGGGAGCTCTGCGTGCGGCCGAGCAGAGAACGCACGTCAGGACCCCTGCGTGGCCAGCAGCTGCAACCTGGGCCAGCTCGCGCCCGATCCTGGCGCGAGCCCCCTGGCGCGAGCCCCTCGCTCCACGGAGCGGCAATCGTCGCAACGCATCGTGCTGCCAGGGCGTGAGGGCCGCGCGCAGCAGGCCGGCAATGTCCTCGTCGTGCTTGCCGCCATTTTTCTGGAGAAAGCGCCGCGTGCTCGCCACTTCGCGGCGCCGATGCCGGCCCCTCAAGTTTTTCCATGGAAAAACTTGAGGGGCCGGCATCGCCAGGAAGCCGGGGGCGATGCATCGCCCCCTGCTTCCTGGCGGCGCGGGTCGCGGCTGGTCCGGTGGAGCTGCAGGGAAAAAGTCATGCCGGGGCGGAGGCAGTGGTTCGGCAGGCTCTGCGTCTGGCGCCGGAGAGGCAGGCGCGGGGGCAGCAGCCACATGGGCGTGGTCGTGCAAGGGCGGGGGCGATGGTTCGGCAGGCTCTGCGCCTGGCGCCGGGGGGACAGGCGCGGGGGCAGCAGCTGCAGGGCTGGCTGCAGAAACGGGGCCGGCCATGCAGCAGAACCGGCCCCTCCCATCGAGAGTGCGAGCATGGCGGGCGCGAGGGGCAGCGGCTGCCAAGAGTTGCTGCTGGCAGACTGGCAAGGCCAGCAGCCGCGATCTAGCTTCCGCTCGTATGGGGATCTCGCGGTCTGTGCACTCATGTCGCCATGAAGCGCAGCTACCCACTCTGCTAAGGACTCCCTGTTGGCCCTGAGGTGAGCCCTGAAGGCGCGCTCCCGATCAGAACCTCGGAGCGGTCGGGCGGGACCTGGCTCCGCGAGCGGCGCTACCGCAGCTGGGGCCGCATCCAGCGCCGCGGGCGCCTGGTCGTGTCCGCGCGCCTCGTGCGAGGGCTCGCCTGCAGCGCCCGGCGCGCCCCTCGCGCCATCGCTGACTGGCTGGCGCCGTCGCAGGCGCTTGGAGCCTGAAGCAGCATCCTCCACTACTCCAGATTTCGTAATAAAAGGGAGGGGGTCTGGACCCTCCAAGACAAGCCATTTCAGACCCCCCCCCCCGTGGGAGAACCCTCCAAAACATCGTGGCCAGACCCCCCAGGCCCTCCAAGATAGCCTGGAAGAGACCCCCCCGAAATGAGACCCCCCTCCCTTTTATTACGAAATCTGGAGTGGTTGATCAAGAGTCGCTGCGGCCAGAGAAGGCCACCTGGCGAAGCAGCACCCGGCGGAGCAGATGCGTGGACCCGATGGGGGGCACTCAAGTTCCCCCCCGCGGCGAGGTGCGCACATGCTTCTCCCCGCTGCGAGGGGGCGGCACCGCACCGAGCGTGAAGTCGAGACGCGCCCAATTGGGCGAAGCCCACCTGGCGAAGCAGATGGGCGATCCGTGGGGAGCAGGCGCGGGCCGCGCCTAGCTCTTGAACGAAAATGGCCAGGGAATGCGCGCGCGTGCGCTTTTTGGCGTCGCGGCCACTCGCGCAGGGGCGCGGCGTAGAGCAGCACAACACAAACACACACACACACACACACACACACACGCACGCACGCACGCACACACACACACACACACACGCACACACTCAACGGGACACACACAGAGCGAGGTCAGGGATCCAGGGTGCAGGCACAGGCTAATGACAGAGATTTGCCAGTGGGTGGCTTGAAGAGTGGACGGGTTCTGGACTCCAGATCTGACGGTCGCCAGCTCAATCCTCTCCAGCCCCTCAGTGCGCCCCGGCACCCTTCAGGGGCACCCTGAAGCCCGGCGGGCGCCTTTACGTGGTGCCACTGGCTTACCCAGGGCGCCTATAGCCTGGAGTCGCCAGGGTGCCCCGGGGCAGCCCCGGGACCCCGGGGGTGCCCTGGCGGCCCGGCCAGGGCACTCTGGGGTCACCCCGGCGGCCCCGCCGCGGGGCGCCCCGGAATCACCCCGGGCGCCTCCCCGGGGGGCTGCCCCGGGGCGCCTCGCCGGGGTGCATGCCCCAGCGGAGGTCACCCTGCAGACGCATCTTCCCCTGGGTGCCCTGGGCCCGTGGTCGCGCTTGCCCCGGGGCGCCCCGACGCGGGAGAAGGCTTCACCCGTGCTGGGCATGATGGCCGCCCCACGATGTGGCCAATACAGCGGGAACGAATGGCGCGCCTCCATATACATGGTACATGAGACATACGCATGATACATACACCTCGCTGCCGGAGCGGCGGGAGCGGGAGAGCGGATGAGGAAAGGTGCCCTGCCAGCGATTCCGAGGGGAGGCGCACAGGGGGGCCGGGTTCCACGCATACGCGTGCAGCCAACCACACCGTTGGGCCAGGCGCCCTAGGAGAGAGCGAGAGAGAGAGAGGGGGAGAGAAAACTAACAATAGAAGAGAGAGAGAGAGGGAGAGAAACAAAGGAAAAGAGAGAGGGGGGGGGGAGAGTAGCGAGAGGTGAGAGAGTAGAGAGAAAGAGGATATAGAGAGTAGAGAGAGAGGGAGAGAGAGAGAGAGAGAGAACAAAAAAAGAGGGAGTGTGGACAGAATAGAGAGAGAGAGAGAGTAAAGAGAAAGCGAGAGAGAGTGGAGAGAGCGGAGAGAGTGGAGAGAGTGGAGAGATAAAGACAGAGTAACAGAAGAGAGAGAGAGAGAAGAGGGAGAGTAGAGCGAGAGAAAGAGAGAGATCCTATAGAGAAAGAAAGAGAGAGAGAGAGAGAGAGAGAGAGAGTAGAGAGAATCGAGAGAGTGAAGCAGAGATATTAGATGAGTCGGGAGTAGAGAGTCGTGGGTGGGGAAAGAGGAGTTGAGGGAGAGACATGGAAAGGACACTTGTTCAACAAAAACATCCACGTACGTGCCAAGGTGATACAACAGGGAGAAGGAAGATAGAGAGAGAGAGAGAGAGGATGAGGAGGAGGAGCAGGAGGAGGAGGATATTTACGAGGGTCGGAGGGCCAGAGTTACACTGGGAATTGCAAGTCTGGTCCTTGCTCTACGGTCGCCTGCTTTACGGCCGCATACTGTTGCACGTCCATCTCGTTCCTCCCTCGTTTGATTCGTTCCCCGTCGATGGACATGACTGAGTTTCTGTTCGCTTCGACCTCTTTCTCTACTTCACCGCCTGGCGGGCGCATACTCTTTGCCCTTGCGGGCACTCAGTCTTTTGTGTAGCCCTTGTGCCTTCCCATATTCCGCTGCGCCAGCCAGGCGTAGTTTGTTTGTCTCAGGCCTAAGTCGGCCTCTTCACTTGTTTCCTGAGACGCAACGATCATCTGATCCATGTCCGTGCAACGTTAAAAAAGACGAGGGAGGAGGGAGGAGTAGGGGATTTAGGTGGTGGGATCGGATGAGGCAGACTCCTTCGGCACCACCTCCTCCAGCTCCTCCTCCCGAACCTCTTCCTCCACCTTCTCATTATCCGCCTCCCCCCTCCCCCTCATCATCATCTCCCCGCCTGGAGGGGAACAGGGAGGACAGAAATGAGATCAGGGAAGGATGGAAGGCACGAGGTGAAGAGATGAAAGGAAAGGGAAAGGGAAGAGATGGGACGGAGGGAAACGAGGGGATGAGGGAGGAGCGAGTGGGAGAGGATGTAAGTGAAGAGATGAGGAGAGGGACGAGGGGGGGGGGAGTAGAGAGGGAAAAGGGAGGGGGATGGAGGAGTAGGTCGTGCATGAAGTCAAGCGGGACGCTTTCAGAGCGTGGGACAACACGACAAGACCGAACCCCGCCTCGGATACCCATGTCCTCTTCTTGTAGAAGAAGCGTTTCTCCTGGAAGGAAGGGTCCGAAGAACAACTTGGACAACAATGCTCTTCAGAGACGATCAAACACCATTGCCGCTGGAGACGTGCATGCAAAAACCTTGCAGTATCAGACCATCGCCTGTCATTGTGTCCAGCATCGGCGACAGGCGCTAGATAACATCTCCCTCATGATCCCTGTTCTCCCCCCCCCCCAGGTAGCCGCTAAACCGAAACTGCATTCGCCTGTTGAGTGGTCGCCGATTTGGAGCCGAACCATCAGGGACCGAACCATTCATGTTCCGAACACGTCACGTTTCTGCGACGACTAACGCTCAGATTGAGCAATGCTGAGAGAGCGATGAGGAAAGCGATGATGACGAGAGTGACTGCGCCAATAACAATAGGGATGAGGATGCATGAGGACGGCAATGATGAGGGCGAGCATGATCGGGGCGATGAAGGTGAGAGAAACGGGAGGTGAGCAAGAAAAGGGTTTTCTCTCTTTGCGTGGGGGGTCCAGAAAGAAGAATGATCCACTTAGGATGTGGAGAAAGACCCTTATACCTCAGCCGCACAGCTGCAAAGAAGAGCGAGGGGGCGCCCGAGCTGCCCTGCTGGGGCTGTGGGCTTTTAGCGCCAGTGCAAAGAAGCCGAACGTGGGTGCCGAAGTGTTGAAGACAGTGAGCCTGCCGAAAAAACCAATCTACACTAGCGGCTCGACCACAAGAAACCTTCCACAAGAAACCCAACCCTGAGACCGCAGGACGTCCGTCGATTCTTGCTGTAGGAACGTCACGCTTTCCATGGTGGAACCATTGAATTCCAAGAAACCCAGGGCACCCTGGAGGCAAGCAGGATGTTTCTTGACATGGGCCTCCACTGTAGTTGCACGACGTCTCGTGTGGGTTACCGGATGGGCTGCTGGCGGGCCGTGGGTCTCGAAAGCCACTGTGGAGAGGCCCGCCACAAGCACCCAGCTCTGGATCACAGGCAGTCCTCCCGAGGCGGCCATCTTCTGCAAACAAAATGCGCATGTCGCGGGTGGGCCGCGGGTGTGGGGCACGGGTGTTGGTCGCGTGCGGGGTCGGGTGTGGGTCGCGGATGGGTGGAGGGGTGGGTCGCGGGTTGGGTCGCGGATGGCTGGTGGGTGCGTCGCGGGTGGGTCGCGCGGCTGGCAACTACGGCCAAGCAACAACGTCAACCCGCACCGCGGAAGCCTACTTCAGCCGCGCACCCAGGGAGGGTGTAAGACTGGCCGGCCCCCTCACACTCCATTGATTCAAAGTTGAAACTAAGCGGTGGATTGTTGCACTCTCGGTGAGCGGTCTGCAGTGCAATATACAGGATGCAGCGTATGTGATGCAAGTTATAGGGTGCACCCTATGTGGTGCAGCCTCTGGAGCGCAATTAACGTTGACCGCATCCACTCGTGCCAACATCCTACCTACCCGCAAACTGCTGGCAGAACTCAACTGGGCGGCGACAGCGACAATGACGATGACGATGATGATGATGATGATGATGATGATGATGATGATGATGATGATGATGATGATGATGATATGATGATGATGACGATGATGATGGTGCTGATGATGATGGTGGTGGTGGTCATCACGATGATGCTGATACTGATAATGATGGTACTGATGATGGTGATGATGATGATGATGATGATGATGGTGATGCTGATGATGATGATGATGATGATGATGATGATGATGATGATGATGATGATGATGATGATGATGATGATGATGATCAAGATACCGATGCTGGTAAAACATCCATCTCATACACCAGGTTTTCGTACGCGTTTGGGCACGGATGCGCTGACACCCGTGCAGCACCCACCATGCTGAACGGAATTCGACGTGCGGGCGCGGAGACGCGCGCGCGTGGCCCGCATGGTCTAGGTTGACAGGGCTTACGTGTTGACCATGTTCGGCACGCGCGCGAGTGCGGCCCGCATGCCCTCATCCGACATGGCAACGCAACATAGCTGTCTGATGAGTTCAGCGGGCGCACGCCTGCAAAAATATCGGACGGCGGCTCGACTGGCAGAAGCAAGTGTGATTGATAGCTGTTGGGCATGCGTGTCTTGACGTGTGCTGGAACCCCATGTTGATTGAATGGTTCCCGACCAGCCTACGTAGGTCTTGGATGGAGCACTTCCTGTCTCCTGCCTCCTACCTGCGTCTCCTTCTGGAGGGGGGGCTGCTAACTGCGTGCGCAACTGGCGCCAATACCGTGGGCTGCCAGGAGGCCCAACGGAATGGGGGCACACAAACATCCAGTCGAGACCGTGCGTCTCCTTCCGAGGGGGGACTGTCAAGTGCTCAGCTGTCGCCACTTTCGCGTGCTCCCAGGAGGCCCAGCGGAATTGGGGGGGGCATGAAGCGCAGAACGAAACCTCACGGCTCCCATGGGGGATCCCCAAGGATGCCCCCAAGATGCCGAAACCCTATCAACATCTAAGACAAATCGATGTGCATGTGTGTGTGTGCGTCTGTTCGCCTTGTCGCTTCCGGTTAGCCCTTGAAGGCCTCGCAAGATGGCCCAAGAGGGCCTCGAGAGAGACCCAAAATGGCTCCGAGACGACCCCAAGAGCACCAAAGAGCGTTCCAAGAGGGCCCCAAGTGGCGAATCCTGCAGCTCAAGAGGGATGTCTTCCTGGGCCCAACAGGGCCCCAAGAGGACCAACAA